TTTAAATTGTAATGTCATCGCAGTATCGCGCTGTCAGTAGAACAAATAAAGACTAAAGCGGAGTTTGGCGCTCTGTATACGATTTTAGCGCCTTACAAGTGCGGACACTTTTTAGCGCGGACCCGACGTTCATATTATTATAATTGTAAGTCAATAATATAATATATATACAATACAATAGTATAATAATAAGGTCGGAGTAGTGTGTTCTAAAGAAGTAGATAAATGTCTACTTATAGATACAAGGCATGTCATAGAGTACTTAAAACCACCAAATATGAATTACATTTTTTATTCCATATTAGCGGAAATATTTTTACTGCATAATAGTAAAACTATTTCCGGTAGGAATTCGGAGGAAGTAATTAGACAGACCGGTAGATAAAAACATTATTCACCTTTATGACAGCTTGTTTAACAAGATAATAAGAATAATAACGCACACACTCAACCCCGCACTAAGAAACCATATATCGCTAGCGCTATGGACACATACATAGACAACCACAAATTACATCCAAACTTCGAGACAAATAAATGAACCCGGGACCTCTGTTTGGCCGTCCGGCATGGTAACTGTTCGGCCACGGGAGCTGTTAGATTGACTAAAACTATGCGACGGTGTGACCTTACATCGTCATCCCACCTTTTTATTTAAATTCCATATTTTATTCTCACACTCGTATTTAAATTCAAATTTTGAATTGTTCTGTCCTTTTGCCTCACTTTCTATCGTCACTCCCTGCTCGATCGCGACAGCGGACGGAGCCGCTTAGATTCAATCGTTAAGTTAGAGAGTGTTTTTATATTAATGTACCCGTTTATTTATATATACTTACTCCTTACTTATTTGTTACCATTTACTCTTAACCAGACATTAAATAAAGTGGACCGGAAGTTTCCTGTTTTACTGCCGTGAACCCGGCCACGGCTTGTTAGGGTTACAACCCTTTCAACTAACACTATAATTATTATTATATTGAACCACTTAAAAATAACAAATTGTAAGAAGGAACGTACTGTACTAAATAGTTTTGGAAAACCAAACAGGAATTAAAACTTGAAAGAGCTGTGTAAATTTATACCAATTACGTACCATTACGTACCAACGTAGAAAGGGAGAGAAGGGCTACATAGTCAGATCCGAAAAGGATATTGCTAGACTGCTGCTGTCTGTATACGTTTATTTCTTTTTCCTTTTTTATTAATGGCTAACTTACACTCTGATATTAGAGAAGACGAGTACACTAACTGGGACATTTTTTCTAGAGAGATTCCGCTACTAAACAGTGCCATATTAATATTCCACAACATCAGATCAATGTTGAAAAACGTCGCCCAACTAGAGCTTATTGTACTAAGTAGCTCGAGAACAATTGACGTCATAGTAATCTCCGAAGTCAATATTACAGACTCATGTAAATCTTTTTTCGAGCTGTCTGATTATGAAATGCACACGGAGCTAAGGAACCACAGAAGAGGTGGTATTATAATGTACATACATAAAAATATTCGTTTTACCAGACATTCAGTGCGTACATATAACTTTGAGTGTATTGTGGGCCTAATTGAAAGTAATTATAACCTAAAAGTAAGGTTATGTGCAGTGTATAGACCACCGGATGCTGACCGGACCCGTTTTGTTCAGGAATTATATGTTGACTATGTTTTAGTAGGAGATATTAACATAGATTTAAAATCACATTCAGTTATTAACACGTTCGCGGACAGCAATGCTATAGCGTTTGCCAACCGCGTTGTGTCACGAATGCTTTATAAATAATGTGGGAAGTTTGTCTCTCTTTCTTGGGCAGATATGCTGAATGCGCTTTACCATAGTAAATTAGTATTGATCAGGCTTTACTGTCACATTTTATACTCAGTCAAAGACGCGTGCTGTCGCATAGGATGATTTTTGCAATTATGACACAAATGCTATAGAATACGTCTTTGTATGAGATTTTTTAGGTATTTGTAGGTGTGTTTTTAGGTTACATTGAGAGTTCATAGGTGTAAGTAAATTGATTTTCGCGCGCTGACGCCCTTTTGTTACTTTGTATCGATCGGCGTAAGTGCTATAGTAGTCAATTGTTATAGAATGCTACAGTGTCTGTTGTCACATTCAGTGATATAAGCGTCATAATGACGAGGTTGCTATGACATTTCCAAAAATGTCATAAATTTTTTTAGTGTCAAAAGTGGGTGACTCACTGGCCGAGAACGTGTTAAATCATTATACCTAAATTCTATGTGCGAGATGGGTCTTGAGTGTGGCATAAGCCAGTGTACGAGAGTCGAAAAAGTGGAGCCCTGATTACAAAGTCATGTTATTGATATATGATATTATATGATAGTGTCAATTGTTCAACTAAGACAGCTGTTATTATTAGTTCGTTAGCCGACCATTAAATAACCATAATCATCAACCCATTTATATGTCCCAGTGCTGGGCACGGGTCTTCTTTCAGACGAGGGTTTAGGCCATAGTCCGCCACGCTGGCCCAATGCGGGTTGGGGACTTCACACGTTTTCAGAGGGTAGCGAACCTTCTTCAACGTGCAGGGTTCATCACGATGTTTCCTTCACCGAAAACCTCATGATAAATTTCAAATTAAATTTCACACATAAATTCCGAGCAAGTCAGAGGTGCGAGCCCGGATTCGAACCTACGACCGTCTGCTTGAGAGGCAGTAGGTCAAACCATTAGGCTACCACGGCTAAATACGGCTGCGTCATAATAACAAACATCAGTACCCATAACTAGCGATATAACGCAGTACGCAAACTTCTAATAAGAAAATTTGTGCAGATCTAAGGGTCGTATTCCAGAACTCTACTCAATGCTCAAGTCAGGACTTGAGTATGATTTAAAGCACTGAAAATCATATTCAAGTCCTTGCTATTAGGGTCGTATTTCCAGTGCTTGAAATCATACTCAAGTCTGCTTAAGTCCTGACTTGAGCATTGAGTAAACTGGAATGAAGGTGCGCACTTTACAAAATGCAATATACTATTGAACATATTCTTTATTTAATAAAGTACACATTTCTTCAAAAAACACTTGTCTCGTCACTGGCAATACAAAGTGTAACTTAGCTACTCAACAATAAGATATATTTCTTAAAAAGGCATACTGCGTAAAAGGTACAATGCAATATACTTACAGCTTGTGCCGCCACAGGCAATGCAAAATGTAACTTCGCTTCTCAACAATAACCTATATTTCTTTGAAAGGCAGCTGTCAGCTGATCGAAGCCGGGATGCGTAACACGAACTTTGGAAATAGCAATACATTAAAGAACTTATCTTCTAATACATAAAGTGAATATTTCTTCTCACGGAATCTCCATTACGTAGGGTGGTCGTGTTTATGCAATTTGTAGACTTTACGTGCAATTAATATAATAGTCCAAATAAGATGATCTCGGTGGCTCAACGGTTTGCACTGTCGTCACTGCATGAGAGGGTTCGATTCCCGGTAGAACCAATTTAAGGAATAAACTTTTCAAAGGTGTTTTTGGCTTAGGTGTTCTGGGTA